TGTATGTATGTATGTAATGATATTCAGGACGTAATGACATGTACAAATGTAAGAGACAGTTTTATAGTTGTTTGCTCTATTACTATGTTGTGACTATTAACGAATTCCATTGTTAAATTTGTATATGATGAAACAACACTGTAATAGAGAAAGCACAGGATGAAGAGTCCGGAGACTTAGATTCTAGGACTACCTTTGCATTTAACTTCCCTTTTCAGGGCCCTTGCTTCCAGATTTTAAAATTGAGGAAGATCTTTAAGGTTTCTTCTAGTTCCAAAATTCTATAAAATGCAATCATTCTATTTTTTTTTTCTTTAGTTACACCAAAGCAAGAGAAATGGGACAGACATTGTCAAGTTAGTGAACTCCCTGGGTATTTTTTGAGCAGTACAAAAGGGCCTTTTAATAATATGGAAGCCACTTTGAGTCCCAGCACACTGAACCACTGGGCTTTAGCACTATTCATATGACAGACATTTAAATGGAGTTGCTTGGTTGGTGGAAAAAATTACCTGCAGACTCTGAAGGAAGTGGGGATAAGGCCCACAGGTAGAATCCTAAAGAGATTCCACTTGTAGCTGCTGCAAGACTCTGAATGAATGGCGTGAGATGCAGGATATGGAGATAATTCATAGAACTAGGCATAATTATGAATTTCCGAATGCTGTACCTCTATCAATTTATTTCGTATTCAAAATGCATTTTCTTGTATGGGTAGAACACTGTTCAGGAAAAGGAATTATCTCAACATTCTGTTTTTGTTGATTGATATGTAGAAATACAGAAACATACCATATTGCTTAACAATACAAATAATTTGCACCTGAAATTCATTTGCTTAGTCCCTTGGAGCCCTACAGAACAAAATGTTTGTAACAAATACAGCTGTGCTGGCGATACTATTGTGTTAGAGAAAACAAAAAGTTGGTTTCTGGTCCAAGGAGCTTATAGTCCAAAGGAAGACAGGGAGGAGTTTTGAGAAATCTGGCTTTTAGTTTGGGTTTTCTAGTTCCCAAATGTGCCCTGTACTTTTATGGTGGTGTGATTTTGTTCTTGGTGACGTTTTTTAAAGCTGGCATGCCTGTTCTCTTCACCAGCCACTTAAATGTCACCTCTGTGAAAAGCTTTCCCTATCTCCCACCCTCCCGAAGTAGGATGCCTTTCCTATCCTCCTTTGTGCTCATGCAGTCCTTTCGTTAGCTCTTGATCACACTACCCAAAGTCACTTTAATATTAGAGCTAGTTGCATTTGTGATTTAAGGGTCAGGACCCTACTTCATTCATCAAAGGGCCTCTCCAAGCACTTAAAAGAAGGCAAGAGAAGTCTGGAAACAGAGGAGAATGTATATTTAAATAACATTAGTTATATTGTCAAATAATATGTTGAATATACTTTCCTCTAGTCTCTAGACAACTTTGCATATAAAATGCCTCCAAATTTCAAACCATTGGTGCAATCACTGATCAGAAATTTTAAAAATTAAATAAATCAAAGAGTTTCCTTATGTTTCTAGATTTTTAAAAAAAATCTTTACTACGTACTTTCTCCAAAGGGGATACTTAATAATTTTTTGCTGAATCATACTGGGACTGTCTTTCCTCTGCACCTCTTTTTTCTCATTTGTAAAAGGAAAATGCTATCTCTCCTGTCTCTTTCACAGGGATATCACAAGGGTAAATGAGAAAATGGCTGTGCAATAGAAAAAAGCAGTATGAAAATGCAAAATGTTGTTCTCATTAGCTATCCAAGGATTTACTTCATGTCCATATTGTGACACTTGAGTATGCGGACTTTGGCTAACCCCATTGCAGCTGCATTAAAAAAGATTCTTCATGAACTGCTTAAGAGAAGGAGCCAAGAGGCTGATTACAGCTTAGGGCCCCGCCACAGCCATCAAAAGTTACCAAAGGGATGCTGGGACTTCAAGTTTGTTTCCAATTGTGCAGGAGGAAAGTCATGGCCTCGGCCATCTGCTTCCTGTCTCCATCATGACTCACACCTTTCAGGTCCATTTTCCGGAAGTTCATATGAGATCTGCTCAGGCCTGCTGCCCAGAGACTTGATGGTGCTAAGGTTCAGGTAGCTGTGTGAAAGGAGAAGCATGAATCTAGGACCTGAGACCCAGGGGGACTGACACAAGGTCAGAAGCTTTTTAGCTTATTCAGAAAAACCAGTTCAGTCTCCATTACTGGTAGTGTAAGCATGATGCTATTGCTTCTCTTAGGATGTACGGAGAGGATACAACATCACTACTATGATATTCCTGCCCCAAATTCAGAATCTGAACGTATTCACAATGAAACATCAGACAAGCCCAAATTGAAAAGCATTCTACCAAATAACTGGCCTGTACTCTTTATTTCTAAAATATACTGTGCTGAGAGATAGAGAGTCTCAGGAACTTTTCCAAATTAAAGAAAACTAAAAGGACATGAGAACTTGCAACGTGTGATTCTAGATTGGATTTTGGACCAGAAAAAGAACATTATTAAAGCAAATGATAGAGTTTGAATGTGGACTGTAGAGTATATAATAGTTTTGTGCCAATGTTAAATTTCCTAATTTTGATGATTGTGTTATAGCTATGAAAGAAAAAAAATCCTTGTTCTTAGGAACTACATACTGACAAATTGAGGGGTAAAGAGGCATACTGTTTGCCTGTGATGTTAATCTCAAATGGTTCAGTAAAAATAATATGTACTACGTATTTATTTGGGTTTCTCTATATATTATATATGTGTATATATATATATATACATCTATATATAGAGAGAACATAGGAAATAAGTAAATGAGGCAAAATATAAACAACTAGTGAATCCTTGTAAACAGATACATAAGTTGTTTATTATTTTTGCAACTCTTCTGTAAGTTTGAAATGATATAAAAATAAAGAGCTATAAAAATAGTGAGAATTATACCAAATTTAAATGTTTATTTAAAAGCTTGCTCTAGAAAATGATATAATGTGTTACTTAACATTTGCTTGCCTAACTGTTTTTAAAAAGTAATTTTCAAACTAAAATGAAACACTGAAAATTCCACAGTTAAGAAGTGGGAAGCTCTGACAATGCTGCCACCTGTGAGCTTGCTCTAGTCCTTCAGTGGTTAGAATTGAGTCATAAGTGCCTGCAAGCCCAACCAGGAAAAATAGCTTAACAATACAAACACTCATCTTGGTGGGCTGATGGATGGAGGGTCCTCACCTACATGACCTGAACATGTCAGTTGAAAAACTGAATGACTCGAGTGTACAGACCAAATGTCCGAGCTGCCTTCACACTTTAGGGAAGGTACCGATGGAATATGCTAGGATAAGTCATGCTTCCCAGAAGGAAGCTAGGGGCAGAAAGGCATAGGGCAAAGATACAGTCAGTACCTGGGTAGTATAGGAGGTGCTGTGTGGATAGTGGAATGACGGAAGTAGACTATTCCCATCTTGGCATGTCCATATTTACAAGCTTTGCTGCTCAGCAAAGAATAACTAAAAGCCAACTGTAAAAACAGTTTTCATCCATCTCATAATCTCTAGGTAACACTGGTTACACAGAGTTCAGCAAATACTTCTTTGGGGAAATGAAATAGCTCAGCAGGACAATGAGAAAGTTCTGGAAGGTTCACTAGCAGAAGTTAAAGAGGTCATTAAAGCGATGGAAAACATTAGAAATTATGGGACAGGCAATAGCCAGATTAGTCAGGAAATTAAAAGACAGATATAGAAAAAAGAAAATGAAAATGAATGTCAGGCAGTGGTGTGCTGTTAAATGTTTAGCAACTGACTTTCTGTGAGAAAAAACAACCTTGACTTACAGTATTTGTTAATTTCCATGGTGTAAATATTCCTACCATGGCCAAATTCAAGTTACAAATATGATGTCACTCAGCACAGGGTTGAGAAGCAATGTACACAATCAGCTCTCACCACCTAGTGTGAGCTGGCTCCAGCATACCATGGATGGGGACTTGGGTATCACTCTCGTACCCAAGTACTTACCAAGTAAGTAATATTACCCTAGTAAGTAATTTAACCTTTCTGGCTTTCAACTTTCTCATCTGTAAAATGTCAAACCTCATAAGATTAGAGAATCAAGTAAAACTAATTTATCTCCATCTAAGGTGTCTTCCAGCTCTGACCATCTCTGGCTCTGTGATGCAGTTAGCCATATTGGTGGCTCTTTGCCTTTTACCATCTCACATCAAGTCTTGTGAGCAGGAAAAAAAATAAAAGAAGGCTAGAAGAAGTTGTTCCACAGTATGGCAATCAGAAAAGAAGCCACATTAACACTGCCTTAAGTATAAGAGGTTCAAGACAGTGATCACTCCAGATTTTCTACACTGAGATTTCTGGGTGAGAATCTGTTTGGGTAGTGGGACTAGAGAATTGACGTGCTTCTGTTATTTAATGATATATTTATTTGGGATATCTTAAGTAGTATACATGGTGGCCATGGACGATGCAATGTGTATATGTGCTCTCTTCCTACACTGCACCCGAATCTGCATGGTAATGAAGCGTACACAGTGAAAACTAGGAGCTAGTCATTTGTTGATGTCCAGTAAATCTAAATGGAGTAAGCAACTCAGTGCAACTTTTTGGGACTGCTATCTTTGTCATTTCCACTGACTGGTGCCTGGTAACATAAAGTGCTCTTAAGACCCCCTTTGCTATATCTCTGAATTGGGGAAACAAGTGCTCAACCCATGTCCCAAAACATGGTTTGGTTACCTCATTAGCTTTGGAGACCTTTTGGAGACCCTTTGGAAGAAGTGCTGGAATGTAGCAGGAAATAAATAAACCAGGAATTGGAAGAATAAATAAAAGTGACTAGAAGCTTGCTCCCTGCTTGGATTTCCAGAACTTCAAGCTAATGGAGCCAGACGAAGAAAATTTCTGGCCTTAATGTGCTGTTGGGTTAGAATAGAAGAGAGAAAACTTTCACCGAGCTTTCAGGAAACTCCAAGTGCAAAGAGGTTTAGTAAGGTATAAGAGACATAATACCTTGTGCTTCCGGAGGCTGCCAGGACTGGTGGGCGTAGAGATGGGAGACTGCTTAGACTTGGGGGTAGAGAGCTGGCTGCTGGAGGTTCCGTTTGCTAGCCCAAGGCAAGAGAAAAGGAAGGGGTAAAAATCAACAGCATACAAAGGAGCAAGTTATCCTTCCCCTCTGTAGACACTTAAGAACATTCAAACGAGGTACACAGACAACCAAGTGATCTGGTGAGTAGAACAAAGTGAAAAGAAACACATTCCTCAAAAGGGCAAGAACTGCAATCCTCAGTTAATTGGATCCCTATGCAGTGCAAGGCCGTCATCCTCCCACCCTTTCCTCCTCGGTGCTTCCCAATCACAGGGGTCTGTTTCTTTTCATTCTTTTTCATATTCATTCCCAGGTTTGCCCCTAACATCTTTGGGAGGTAGTGTGTGGGAAGGTATATTTTTGCTTTAATTTTTTAGAGGACAAAATGAGGCACAGAGAGGATATGTACCTAACCCTAAAGGGGAAGAAATATGGGTGATTTTAGACCAGTGCATATTTCCTTTGGTGGCAGATGATGGGGTAGGTGAAAGACAGCCCCACTGTTAGTCTCTCTCCCTCTCTTTTCCTGCTCATGCCCCACCACTGTGCCTTTCCTACCTCATCCTACATGTGTGAAAAGAACAGGAGGAAAGAAAGAGAAAATAGGCTAGTCAGGAAGAATGAAAGAAAGTAGAGGAGAAACAGAAGGAGAAACATTTAAGAAAGCCTCAAGCAGCAGAATGGGCAGAGGAGAAAACTGAAAGAGAGAGAGAGAGAAATAGAGAGATTGGGAATAGAGGAGAAAAGAGACAAGGAAGATGATAAGAGATAAAAAGAGAAGGAAGAAGTTGAAACAGGAAGAAAGGCATAGAGACACATAAAGGTCCAAAATGGTAGCCAGAGTCAGGGTGCACCCCCATTTGCCTCTAGCCAAGAAAATGCTGAAAATAAGACAGTTTCTTTTTAAACATCTTTATATTCTATTGTGTTGTTAAATTGTTTCATGTTCCCTCGATAATGAGCTTTTTAATATCCAATCATGAACAAAGAAATGTGGTATATTAAAATGGAATAATTAAACAGCTTTCAAAGTGGATTTTTGTTCAGACATATCATGCCAAAGTATTTTTTTAATTTTAAGACCATTGTTAAACAGAGATATTCTAAAATGTGTTTTAAAAACAAAGGAAAATATCCTGAGGGTGTGTGGAGAGTGGGGGAGAGAGAGTAGGATGGAGAAAGAATGTGTGTGTGTGTGTGTGTGTGTGTGTGTGTGTGTGAGAGAGAGAGAGAGAGAGAGAGAATAGAAAATTGAAAACGTTAAGCAGAAAGATGGCCTGAGAGTGTTGCTGTTAGTCCCATAGGTAAAGCTTAAACTGCTGTATCATGAATATTTCATGAGGATATATTCCTTCTACACCACTTATAAAAATGTTTCCCTAGGTTATGGAACATGTACATCAACTTTAGAGATGGAAGAGACATCAATGTAGTGGATGCTGAGTTTATTTAAGTTTAAGTGAGCTGAAAAACGGACACTTATGCACTCACTGTCTGGCTTATATACTCACTCATCTCTCACCCACTCTTTGAAAAGCACTCCCTCCCTGTCATTCCTTCGTTTAGGCAGTAGCTATGGAGCACTACCTATGAGCCAGGCAAAGTTTTAGGCATTGGAGTTTCAGAGAGGAGTAAGTTACTTCCTGGGGGAGGCAGACAAAAATTTAGTGGAATAAATGCTAAGACATAGCCTTGCATAGGGTATTATTGGAATCCAGAGAACAGACTTTGAAATCTGGGGCCTGGAAGACAAACAAGAGGAGGCAACACCTGAGAAATCTTGAAAGATGAATCTGAAACAGGCACATCAATAAAGACTGAAAGTAGATAATGGTTCCCAGGGGTTGGAGGAAGGGCAGGAGTTTGAAAATCTGCTAATGGGTACAAGTTTTCTTTGGGAAAAGCCAAGATATTCTGACATTAAATAGTGGTGATGGTTACACAACTCTATGGCCAAACTAAAACCCACTGAGTTGTATATGTTAAATTAGTGAATTACATGTTATGTAAATTGTATCTCAATAAAACCTTTTAAAAAAGATGAATCGGAGATAGAATCATTCTACCATAACAACACATAGGCAGAGAGGATAGGAAGGCATTCTAGGCATTAGAATTGCCAACATCCTTTCATGTTAACAACTGTCAATAATGTAAGCATTGAAGGAACAGACTTCAAAATATTAAAAGTCATCTATGACTAACCCATAGTTAATATTATATTGAATGGGCAAAAGCTGGAAGCATATCCCTTGCAAACCAGCACAAGACAAGGATGTCCTCTCTCACCACTCTTATTCAACATAATATTGGAAATACTGGCCAGAACAATCAGGCAAAACAAATAAGTAAAAGGCATCCAAATAGGAAGAGAGGAAGTCAAACTATCTCTGTTTGTAGGTGACATGATTCTATATCTAGAAAACCCCATAGTATCTGCCCCAAAGCTCCTTGATCTGGTAAACAATGTCAGCAAGTCTCAGGATACAAAATCAATGCACAACATCACTAGTATTCCTAGACACCAACAATAGCCAAGCTGACAGCCAAATCAGGAATGCAATCCCATTCATAATTGTTACAGAAAGAATAAAATTCCTAGGAGTACAGCTAACTAGGGAGGTGAAAGATCTCCACAATGAGAGTTACAAAGTACTTCTTAAAGAAATCAGAGAAGACACAAACAAATGGAAAAACATCCTACACTCATGGATCGTAAGAATCAATATCATTAAAATGGCCATACGTCCCAAAATAATGTACAAATTCGATGTTATTTCAATCAAACTACCAATGACATTCTTCACAGAACTAGAAAAACCTATTTTAAAATTCATATGTAACAACAAAAAAATAGCCCAAATAGCCAAGGCAATTATAAGCAAAAGAACAAAGCTGGAGGCACCAAATTACCTGACTTTAAACTATACCACAGGGCTACAGTAACCAAAACAGCATGGTACTGGTATAAAAACAGACACATAGACCAATGGAACAGAACAGAGAGCCCAGAAATAAGGCCACACACCTACAACCATCTGATCTTTGACAAAGTTGACAAAAACAAGCAATAGGGAAAGGACTCCCTATTCAGTAAATGGTGCTGGGATAACTGGCTAGCAATATGCAAAAGATTGAAACTGGACCCCTTTCTTACACCATATACAAATATTAACTCAAGGTGGATCAAAGACTTAAATATAAAACCCCAAACTATAAAAACTCTGGAAGACAACCTAGGCAATACCATTCAGCACATAGGGCTTGGCAAAGATTTAATAATGAAGACATCAAAAGCAATTGGAAAAAAAGCAAAAACTGACAAATGGGATCTAATTAAAGAGCTTCTGCACTGCAAAAGAAACTATCAACAGAGTGAACAGACGACCTACAGAATGGTAGAAAATACTTGCAAACTGCATCCGACAATGTCTAATATTCATCATCTATAAGGAACTTAAGCAAATTTACAAGAAAAAAACAAACAACCCCATTAAAAAGTGGGCAAAGGACATGAAGAGACATTTTTCAAAAGAAGCCATTCATGTGGTCAACAAGCATATGAAAACATGCTTCACATCACTAATCATTAGAGAAATGCAAATCAAAATCACAACGAGATACCATCTCACACCAGTCAGAATGGCTATTAATAAAAAGTCAAAAAATGGCCAGGCGCGGTGGCTCAAGCCTGTAATCCCAGCACTTTGGGAGGCCGAGGCGGGTGGATCACGAGGTCAACAGATCGAGACCATCCTGGTCAACATGGTGAAACCCCGTCTCTACAAAAAATTACAAAAAAAAAAAAAGTTAGCTGGGCACGGTGGCGCGTGCCTGTAATCCCAGCTACTCAGGAGGCTGAGGCAGGAGAATTGCCTGAACCCAGGGGGCGGAGGTTGCGGTGAGCCGAGATTGCGCCATTGCACTCCAGCCTGGGTAACAAGAGCGAAACTCCGTCTCAAAAAAAAAAAAAAAAAAAAAAGTCAAAAAATAACATACTGGCAAGGTTGTAGAGAAAAGGGAATGCTTATGCACTGCTACTGGGAGTGTAAATTAGTTTAACCACTGTGAAAAGCATGTGGTGATTCCTCAAAGAACTTAGAATTACCATTTGACCCAGCAATCTCACTATTGGGTACATGCCCAAAGGAATATAAATCATTCTACCATAGCAACACAGGCATGTGTATAATCATTGCAGCACTATTCACAATAGCAAAGACATGGAATCAACCTAAATGCCCATGAATGATAGACTGGAAAATAAAAATGTGGTGCATATACACCATAGAAAACTATGCAGCCATGAAAAAGAGCAAGATTATGTCCTTTGTAGTGCTGTGGATGAAGCTGGAGGCCATTATACTCAGCAAACTTACACAGGAACAGAAAACCAAATACCTTGTTTCTCACTTATAAGAGGAAGCTGAATGATGAGAACACATGGACACAAAGAGGGGAACAACAGTCAATGGGGCCTACCTACTTGAGGGTGGAGAGTGGAAGGAGGGAGAGGATCAGAAAAGCTACCTATCAGATACTATGCTTATTACCTGGTTAACAAAATAATTTGTACACCAAAGTCCCATGACATACAGTTTACCTATATAACAAATCTGCACATGTATCCCTCAACCTAAAATAAAAGGTAAAAAAACAAAAACAAAAACAAAACTGCACCAGCAGGAGCAGACATAAATGTGTGAGAAAATACATTATGTTTACAGAAGTGCAAGTCACGAATAATGACTCAAGAACAGGGTGCCAGCAGGGAGTTTTAGGAGTGAGGCTGGAGACTGAGGATAAAGGTCAGACCCCTGGGGGCCTTTTTATGTAGCCTATTAAGAAGTTTGCATTTGGTTTCTGAAGGAAGAATTTTAAGCTGAAAATGATATGATCAAATTTGCATTTTAAAGCTCTAGCAGCTGTGGTTGGTTAAGACTCTGGGTACAGTGGGAAGGAGTAGGGTAGAAGCAGAGGTTAGTTAGAAGAAAGACCCTGCACTAATTCAGATGA